CGGTTATGAATGCCTTGGTTGCCTAGGTTGTTCGTTGGTATGCCTCTTCCGAGTAGAGAAATGAGTGAGTTGGACAGCCAGAATAGGAAATCCAATCGAGTCTAGGATTCTCCGCGGTGGAAGTATCGAGTCAATCAATCTAGGGTAGTACTCAACATCGATCTAATGGAGGAATTAGGGGGATTTCTGTCTAAGTGAGATCCCACCTTTTAATTACTTAGAGTAGTAGTCAGAGTATCTTAATCACTATTCTAGTTTGGCTAGATAACAAACAAAAGTGAAGTAACGGTACATCAAGAGGCCCATGGATTCGATAATTGTATAACTTTACTTACCCTATACTACACCCAATCGTTGGTTATGCTTGGCCTTCGTTTGAAATGAGTAGTTAGGTACAAGTCAGGCTTCAACTCTAATTTATACCCATAAGTGCAGAATGGACACTAATTTGTGACATCGACCCAAAGTGCATTGTTTCATTGACACATGTCATGACTTCTATTGTAAATGCTATGGTTGAAACTGTGACTTTCGCAACTACCCGCGAACTGTGGTTTACCTCCGGGAACCTTGCATATCTCATGACCTCTTATGTGGAAGTCAAAGTATAGCCGTGACTTTTTTCTCTGAATAGGTACTTTTGCACTTTTTGCACTTTGTTCTGGTTTTGACTCCAATTGGTCTGACAATCATTCCTTTCGCCATATTCACTTGCTAGGGTCTGAAATATACTAACTAAAGCACAACTTAGCATGAAACGGTCTAAAGAACGACAAACATCAAGCCAAATGATCAAGGAAAGGATGTATAAACATGTATAATTAAGTCTGAATTAGTGATTAACGATCAACAGTTCTTTGCTACCCTCGTCTGAGATCCGCGTCGTGAGAAACTGGCGAATTAGCAACCATCGACACATATTGCTTCTTCACCATGCGATCTACTATCCCGTGCATCGCGGCGTTGCACAGCGATCTGTGAAGTCGTGTAAGAACCAATCTCTAAGATCCAACATAAACTACATGGATCACTTAACACCCCAGCGATCTAACTCTCCTTCGTGTCGGACTTCAACGAACAACTACACAATTCGCTTGTCTGTCGAGTGAACTGCCCCAAACTTTAGTATTTTGGGAAATATTTTTCAAATGTTGTATAAGAAATTATTTTCCTAACCTATGCATTCTGAGAAAAATTTCCATAAATCTATAACAAAGAATGAAATTGATAAAAAAATATTTAGTCAATAAAAAATCAGTTCTAAACTTCTAATTGTTGATATCTAAGTCCATCATGTAATTATTGATTGGAAATCCGACTTGGTTGACATATGCAGGGACACTTGACTTTGTCGATGTCGAGCCAAAGGAGAAAGCATAATCCCACTAGACAAAGCAACAGAAGTATGTTGGGACACCCTGAAACAATACATGATTCATGTGGCACAAAGGAGAAATTAGGGATTTGGCCAGCGAATGAATAAGGCAGGTTCCCGCCATCATTGATGTACAAAGGAAGAAGATTGATCGATTTATGGGAGAACTGGAAGGACGGCGATGGTGAAAGGTTCGATTTGCAGATGGATAGTAGGGCTCGGTTTGAGAGAGAGATGTGTGATGAGAAGGAAGAAGAAAGGCTCGATTTTACAGACGGATAAAAGGTAATGGATGAAAGGAAAGAAAAATTAATGAGGGATTTCGAAATTCCCTTTACCCACAATTTCTCATCTTACTAAATGTGAAAATGTCCCAAAATTAGAAAGAATGAGGAATGTACTGAAATCGTTCATCCAAACAATCCATTAATTTCAGTCTTATATTTTAATTTCGGGACTTGTGACCTCATCCTCATTGTGTGACGACGTCCTCACAAAAATGGATGTGAGGAGGATAGTTGGATTGCTCATTCAACTCCAAATTGCTACCATATGGAAAAGACAAATCAAAACGAATTGATTATTTAAGGTCCATGTCGTATGCAACTTGGACACGCGAGTTGTCTAGAGTTTATATGCATGAGATGATTGCCTTGGCATTACTTGTGCAAGTTGATATTAGCTAGGTAATCGATACGGTTAAAACTAAACCATTTCGATTTGGTTTATAAAATATGAACAACTCTGCATATAGAGAAACTGCTCTTATTTGGCAACCTGCCTGTAAGTTGGCTTTTTTCCGACATTGGAGAAAAAGTTTAGGGCGAGGACTTCCCCATCTTAGCACGTCCAGCAGAGCAGGTAATAGACTTCATTTTCACTACAATTTCATTTCATTACTGCAGTGATGGCTACGGATCTAATTAATTGGATATAATAGACTAGACGCGCCTCTTAATGGAGACTATATTTATTGATTTATGAGTAGTCATTATAAAGAATGTGGAGTTGGAGAATGTAGTAGGGACCAAGATACATATAACAACTGGCAATTTTGCCCATACCCATGGATTTTTTATTATCCAACTCAATTGGGTTGGGTATGAAATCCAAATAGATGGATATGGGTAGAGTTTGATAGATTTATACTCATACCCATTTATTTGGGTTGGGTTGGGTTCAGTGGTGGATCCAGGACATAGTAGAACACTAGGCCCATATTTCAATAGAAAATTAGATACCGTATGAAAATCATAAAATTTTTTACTATATCAATTGTGCATGCGATCTTTTTAAATTTTAATATAGTGAATTCATCAATAATGGAGTCTACATCCATACCAATAGCATACTCTCTTTAAGATAAAATAGTTAACCAATTGGCGAGAAATTCATCGCTCATTTTATTATGTTAATAATTTTTCACCTATTTCATTTGTGAAAAGGTTCTCTCCGTAGTTGTTGAAACGAAGAATGTCAACACTAGACAAATCAATCGACTAATCAATATATATATTTTGTGTCAATCCCTATTTTCACCAGCTACTCTAGTAATTTTTCAAGTGAACAAACCTCATATTCCTTTTAATCTTTTACGTTTTGTACTTTTAGAATTTTAGGTTTCATTGCTTGTTTTTCTTTAGGCGAGAATCATTGGAGTTAGAATTTTCAGGTTAAATTTAGGGGTGTGTTTTGAATATGTTCATCTTACCCATTTTCCTAATTACACACAATCTTATTATAAAATGACACTGGGCCGAATTACTACAACCGATACACTAATAAGGGCTATACTAGCTTCGGATCCAGAGGAGGACTGGGCCGTGGCCCGGGGTGGCCTCACACTGGTTGGGTTTATAACAAATGGATTTGGGTTTGTACCCATGCCCAAATGAAAATTACAGTTTGGTACCTAAACTTAATAGATATGCATATTTAGTACCTAAAATTATTTGTTTTTGCATATAAGTCCTCAAAATATTAATGGCAAATTACGTGTTGGTACCTAAAATTTTTTGGTCTTACATTTTGGTACCTAAAGTTTTCAAGTTTTTCAAATAGGTCTAATTTTTTGCATGTGTAGTTAGAACACCGTCAAGTAAATGGATATTCATATCCAACCCATACCAATTTAGATTATGAAAACAATATCCACACTTTACCCAAACTCATCTACAAACCCATATGCACTTCACCCATACCCAACCCATTATCAATGAGTCTACTTGGATATAATTACCCATGGGTGGGTAATTGTCATCCCTAATAACAACTCAAGAGGTTGAGCATCGCTACTATACTAAAAATATATTGTTACTTTCTCTTACGAAAATAAGTTGTTATGGTATTCCGTTAAGAGGAATCTAGTGTCATATGGTTCCACTGCGAAGCAATCACCCAATGATGATTTACGGTGACAGGTCGTTTCTAAACGACTCCCAGCCGAAGACTCATCGTGTTGTGGTTGTTATGAGCGAGCTGATACACTCCTTTGTTCTACCTTGATGAATAGAAAGCAAATGCCCTTTTAGAAGGTCATAAATTTACACAAGAAGATACATATGAATGTGTTGTCCAATCAAAATTAACACAAGAAGCTTCAAGATGACCCTTAAGGATTGCGACCTGGATAGGATCAATGATCTCTACCTTTAGAACAAATCCTCAAATTAAGATCTTGCATATTCTCTCGTGAGATTCAGGTAACTGAACTCATATTCTAAATCTAATTTCTTATTTATTCTAAAATTTATAACCTCGGAATTTCTTCTTCTCGCGACGGATTAAAAAAAAAAGTTAAAACCCTACTGTAAAATAAAAGTGACCCGATAATGATAAGGACATTAATAATAACAATAATGAAACCCAATGTCATGTGATGGGATATATGCGTATAGATACATCACCTACAACTAAAAGGCGTATATGATATGCAGCTAGCATACTATTATTGACTAATTTGGTCATTATATTTTTGTCACGCTTCTATCACACTGCCACCTGGCCTTCCCCACTCGGCCACTCACACTTACCAGTACTGTTATTACGTCACTATATCTACATTTCATCCCATCCTCGGATCTCCCACCCTCCCACTTATAGGTGAATGATAAATAAAAAGATAAAATCTCTATTTTCACTTATGTGTGGCATCAAGCTTACCATTTTTTTTTATAACCCAGGAACCCTCAACCCCACATGCCACTTTGTGACAGCGTGATCTACTAAATCTGGAGAGCACCTATATAAGACACAACATTTGGGAGACTTCGTCCCCGACACTTAGGCATGCTTCCGGGAACACACAAATGACGCCGTTGGGAATCGATCTCATGACCTCTCACATCCTGAGCCAACCAGACCAACGGTTTCATCGCTAGGCTATATTACCTTTGACAGGCTTACGATTTTAAGAGTGTATAAATGAATTTTTATAATTACTTCAAATTAAATTATTATTTGATTAACATAACATTGATATAATTATAATTATACTAAAACAACATTTTCATTCCAAATAGTTTATATTCTAAAAGAATTAGACACATAATTTCAAATCGTAACTCCGTCACTGTCCCACCCCATTACACAATATATAAAACCCCCTCAAGGCCCAACCGAAACTCATACCCATTACCCAATCCCCCCAAATCAAAACAACAAATTTGTGATGGCGGAGAGCAATTACGTTAAACAAGGGGAGGCCGACACCGGCTCCGCCGCCGCCGCCGCCAAGATGAAACGGCTGTTGCTAATCATCAACTGCCTCATCCTCGCCGTGGGCAACTGCGGCGGCCCCATGATAATGCGCCTCTACTTCCTCCACGGCGGGAAGCGCGTGTGGCTCTCCAGCTGCCTCGAAACCGCCGGCTGGCCCATCATGCTCATCCCCCTCGCCGCCGCCTACCTCCTCCGCCGCCGCCGCCGCCTCTCTCAAACCAAATTCTTCCTCATCGAGCCCCGCCTCTTCTTCGCCGCCGCCGTCGTCGGCGTGCTGACGGGGTTCGACGACTACCTGTACGCGTACGGGATGGCACGGCTCCCCGTGTCGACGTCGGCGCTGGTGATCGCCACCCAGCTGGCGTTCACGGCCGGGTTCGCTTTCCTGCTGGTGAAGCAGCGGTTCACGCCGTTCTCGATAAACGCCGTCGTTTTGCTGACGGTGGGGGCCGGGGTGCTGGCGATGAACACCAACGGGGACAGGCCGGCGGAGGAGTCGAGTAAGGAGTACGCGCTGGGTTTCGTGATGACGCTGGTGGCGGCGCTGCTGTACGGGTTTATCCTGCCGCTGGTGGAGCTGGCGTACAAGAAGGCCGGCCAGGAGATCAGCTTCACGGTGGTGCTCGAGTTCCAGATGGTCATGTCGCTCTTCGCCACCGTCGTTTGCACCGTGGGCATGCTCGTTAACCGCGATTTCCAGGTTCGGATTTTTGACAAGCTATTCTTGATTTTTTTTTTTTTCTTCATTGAAGATTCTACAAAATGTTTTTTTTTTTTTTCTGTATGTGTCTTGTTTTCATCGAATTTACTTTGTTCTGTTTTTTGTATGGGTTAAGGAAGAGGCCGATACTCTTTTTAATTTTCTGACGGCATATGAGTTGGGGTTTTAGATAAATACGTGGCACTGGGAGAGTTGTACAGCTAAGCTAAGGGGAAGCCTTGGATTTTCCGATATAGTTGGTCACGGTAAATGGTTAGCTAACGGCAGTAGGTTCTAACATTTAGCCTAAATAGAAATAATGTAAAATTAAATGAAATACCAACGTTTAAATGTTGTAAACAATTAGGTAAACCATTATTCTAGCTATTTTTATTAGTCATTAATGAATGCTTAGGCAACACACAAGAAGTGTGTTCATACCACCAAAAAAAAAAAAAAGGAGTGTGTTTATAATAGAGACACTCACATAAGACTTAACAAATGCAAAGAAACTAAACAACAAGAAACACAAGATGAAGATACCTACAAAACATCTAAAAGCTCTTGGGACATCCCTTCAGATTAAAAAAAAACTTCTGATTCAGAATTTAGATATGACTCATAATTAAGAATACATAGCTCATTAATTATAAAGATTATGCGAACAATGACTTAATTTATTGATTTTACCGTCTTCAATTTAGAAGTCGTAGGTTCAATTCTCTCAAATATCATGTGGTAAAAAAAAATTAGACTCCTATCAAAATTTTGACCAACTAATTGTAGAGGTTGGTATGATTAAAATGAGTTTGGATGGCGATCCGAGCAAGTACTTTGTCTTTCTGTTGATACCCTGGAAAGAATAGTTTGTTTTACACAATACCAGAAAGTGTTCTTCCTCCATAACAAAAAAAAAAAAAAAAAAAAAAAAAAAAAAAGAGGAAAATGCTGTTCTTTCTTTCTTTCTTTCTCAGCCATACGAGAAACCATAAATATATCCGGATAACCAGCAATTATGAGAGAATATAAAACATATATACTTGGAAGGAGCATTTTGTTTATATATAATATATGTAGGTTTCTTTCAATTTTGTTTGAAAAGTCAATATTCCCAGCTAGCTAGATAGCTAGCTACTGATGGAACACTATCAATCAGTCTCCTCCCTCCAATAATTGATTCTTCTCTCTCTCTCTCTCTTGATGCGACGTAATTAACCCTAATCCACAGTTTAAATAGCAATAATCACTGAATGGAAATGTATGTATACCTAACTGATTTTGGACTGTAATTTCAAGCGTGTAAACAACGAGCATTATAGGACGGCGTGACAGTAATAGCTAGGAGCTACTATAGCTTGGGCCTTGGAGCTGTCCGAAACGAAAGTATCTTTCTTAAAAACAAAACTAGGTATATAGATAGATAGTTCCAACGTTTGTCCATTTCACTGGCTGTTAGGAGAAGGAAGCAAAGAAGAAAGGAAGTAGTAGAAGAAGAAGTCTCCAATCCATTCTGTCCCGTGCGTACAAGTAACCCAAAACTTTCAATGTAACGGAATTAATCTGATTGTTTAAGGTAAACAAACTAGACTAGAAGAGATGCAATCAATTAACTTTCATGAGACTTTGTTTGAACCTTTCGGACCCTATACTAAGATATGAATTAGCGTTTTCGGGAACACTACGAATGGGTTTCGAGGGAGGTCGAACTCAAGACCTCACACATCCAGAACGAATGTGTAATGAGAGTTCACTAATTCGGCTACGTGACCTTTGATTGTGATTATGACTACATTATTTAAGAGACTTGATTGCATATTTGTCATCGTCTCCTCGAATATGAGCGTTCCATTGACAAAAACAAAGACTACCTTGAAAGCAAGAAATAAAAAAAAAGACTAATTATAATTTATTTATTTGCCTTTACCGGCTGCTTTAGGTATGAAAGTGCTTTTGCTAAACTTTGATGGTATCAATTCTCAGAATCATCCGTGATCATTTCTAAAAATTGAAAGTTCAAAAGACACTTTATATTGTGCTTAAAGTACCTCTCACTACTTATAATCATTTACTTATAATCATAATGAGAGCATAACATTTTTTTATACCAAATGTGTATACTAACTGCATAGATTAAAGAGAGGAAAGCTTGTTCTAGACAATCACTCCAAGTCTACTATATATTAGGGCTGTAGGTCTGGCTTTATATATCCACTGGCCCAACCCGATCAGATATTGAGAGTCGAGTTGGGTCAATTTGTTTACAGGATCAGTCTAGGGTTGAATATGATTCGGTCAGTTTTGGCTCGGGTCATTTTTTGGTCATATGACCTATAACAATAACTAGTGATATGAAACTTCTCATATCAACACATTGAATCTGTTTGTAAAGTTTTAAAATTTGAGGTAATAATGTGAGGTAAAAAATATAAAGCTACTAAAACATAATTTTATCAAAAAATTTACGTACTTTTTTGTGAAAAAATAGTTTGGGTACTTGTACAAAAATGTGAGTTAGGGTATACCAAAATGTAATTGAAAAAAGAGAGTGTGTTTTTTTATGTGAGTGGACCCAATCCTATCTGTACAAGTTAAACGAATAAAAAAAGAGTAGTATCGTGTCAAATTAAATGCTTGATCCTACCGAACCTGATCAATTTAGAGTAGTGGCGGAGTGAGGGTTGGATTTGGCCTAACTTCACCCCTAGATAGATATTTATCATGTGTTGATATGGATGAGTGATCGTTGCATATATATGCCAATGCCATGAGCTTTTACTAGTGTCTAATCCGGCCGATTTCCATGAAAAACTAACCCTTTTTGATTTGCCATGTGAAACCATTTACTATATTCTATTTCACACTCCTAAAATGACAGCCTCCCCTTTTGCCTTTTCAATCATCCATTTGTGTCCAACGATATTAAGGAATGCCCTCCCACCCACCCCACCCCACCTTTGATCCCTCTTTAATTACCTTCCATCGACAGATCTACTTCTGCCCGCAACACCTTTCTTCCTAATTGCTTGATGTGCATGCGCCCACCAACGCCACTCCTAGTGCCTAAAAAAGTGTGATAAATGTCAACATTTCAACTGTTATATGAAATAATTCAAGTAGCATATCGAAAATATAAGAAAAGGAACCGTTGTATATTAGTGATCACCAACCTTATTAGTACGAACTCTTTTGAGGAGGATATCCAAGAGTAAAATCGTGCAGGTTTCGCCCAAAGCGGACTTATCGTACTAATTGAGCACTCCGGTTATGACAAGTGGTATCAGAGTCTGGTTCGGTTCGAGGCGGTGGATGTCAGTTTGGTGGACACTCATTTGGTGACATCGGGATTTGAGGGTTGCGTCCGGTTTGGAGGCCTTTTGGAGATGATACCCAAGAGTAAAACCGTGTAGACTTAGCCCAAAGCGGATAACATCGTACTAATTGAGCGCTAATTATTGTCAAGAACCAGTTGATCCCAATAACTCGAGTTTTGGGAGAAGATTCTGCTGGATCTTATACCACTCTCTAACACGCCCCCTCAAACGAAAGCCAACCCATGGGCTTGAAGTTTGCACAGGCCCACCATACCTTGTGCTTTAATCAACTGTTAATATTAGGGGTCGTGGAGATTTGAACACACGACCATTTGGCCAAACCAGCTCTGATACCATGTCAAGAACCAGTTGATTCCAATAACTCGAGTTTTGAAAGAAGATTCTGCTGGATCTTATACCACTCTCTAACAGTTATAACATCAATTTTACTAGCGGTTTAGTTAATTATAATTATAATAATAATTAAATCCTTAATCTTTAATCAGTTGCCTTTGACGTTGTGCAGGCGATTCCGAGGGAGGCAAGCGGATCAAGCCTAGGAGAAACCAAGTACTACGTCGTTCTGGTGTTCAGCGCCATCATCTGGCAGGCCTTCTTCCTCGGAGCCGTCGGCGTCATCTTCGTCGGGAGCTCTCTGCTCTCCGGGATTCTCATCGCCGTCCTGCTCCCGGTGACGGAAGTCCTCGCCGTGATCTTCTACAGCGAGAGTTTCCACGCCGAGAAGGGCGTCTCCCTTGGCCTGTCCCTGTGGGGGTTCGTTTCCTACTTTTACGGCGAACATCGGGAGAACAACAAGAAGAAGAAGAAGATGAAGCAGCAGCAGCTGCTGTCGGATTCTGCTCCGCAGATGGAAATGTCTCAACCCACGAATCAAACACGTGCCGCTGTCTGAGCAGCGACACTGATTGCGTACCAAAAACCCGGCCGGCCAACTGGAAGATGAGAGGCGACCGGTTAATTATCCTCGTCAGCCGGAGCTGTTTTCGTTATGAATGATAGTTAATGTCGATCGAGACGGATGGAAAGGAACAGGGAGAGAGCATGTGTATTCTGTCGACACGCTCTCTGAAAATCAAGGAGTGTACAGTAATTGCAACGTAAAAGGATTTCACGGCTAATTCGTAACTTCTTCTATATTGAGGATAATATATACGTCGTATTTGGTGTTCAGATTCCCAGTTGTTCTCTATTCCGGCCAAATCTCAGTTATATTTGCAAGTTCCCCTTCCTATATTTACACAGTTAGAACATATTTTTGCAAGTTCTCACTAACTATTATCAACTAATAATCAAAAGCTTTTTCTTTACCAATCTCATTAATCACTTCTTATTTTCGTGAGTGGTGGAATCAAACGTTTTTCTATATTATTATAATTAAAATAATAATGGTGTCATTTTTCTGTCACACAAATTACAAATGTCATGATTGTTTCTCTACGGATCGGGAAATAAGAGAATTCGACAAAGCAAGATAATGAAAAAAGAACGAACACGACACACAATTTACGTGGTTCACTAAATTAATGTGTGTTAGTCCACGAGCAAGAAAGAGATAGTTTCACTGTACTTCAAGTTGATACAGATTACAGATGTGCATTTGTTTCCGTCAACTACGAGATGAGGCTAATTTTGGATTCTATTAAAAGTAAAAGGGATAGAATCCAAAGAAAAGACAACATAGTACTTGGGGATTTCGAAATAGCAACAGTCATATATATGCAGGTTTTAGAAATCCTTGAACACCGAAATTTCTCGTTTCTTAATTATCCCCTCTCAAATCCGAGAAAATGAAAAATTGTGCTGGTTCAAATCCCCATCCCTATGACCACAAAAAAAATCCCCATCCAATCGATCCAAATAAAGAAGTAGCATAGCTCCAGCGCTACTAGTCAAAAGTTTCCACGGAAGGGGAGACAAACGTCACGACCATATCAACGCTCTTGAATATTGACTTCTGGTTCTCTTAACAAATACATGTAAACAAACATGCAATTGTCACTCTTTTTGTCAATTAGTAAATACTATGACAAACCGCTTAGAATGGATTGGATGATATGACGGCACCAACTTGCAGCATAAAGTAAATACTAACATCAATTTCTGTACCTTTGAGGAGTCGAAACTTCTTTTGACAACCATCGTCTAATATGCAATCGAGTTGCGTATATGCTTTTTTGAGGAGTCCACAAACACAGTGGCGTTTCCTTTCCTTCACTTCCAGCCACGAGACCATTGTCTTAGAGAGTCAAAAAGTTCATCCTTGTGAGTTGTGTTGTGACCCACAAACAGCGACTACGACCTGATATTTGCACCCACTGGAGAAGGAAGAAAACATGTCAATAGCTACTCAATCATTTCCACTCTAGTCACAAAAGTTTGACAAGAATGATACCTTCGTGCGACCGAATAATGAAAACTGTACACTGACTAACAGGTGAGGGAGAAATTTGACATCCTGACATGTCCGCTGGCAGACTTTTTCAGCCCAATGTACTCCTGATGATTAGAATGAGGACCGAAAACTCGAGCATGAATCTAGGACACCATTGGCATGTTCAACCAGTAGATAGCTGCTGATATAGCCTGTGCTGTCCAGATCAGTATCTTTAATAGTCAGAAGCAATACCGCTGAAGCTGCCTCACACGGGAGCAGTCAAATATAATGCATATGCGATTGAAGGTGGTGAATTCTACAGATTCGTCAACCAAGGAAACACAACAAAGATGATGCAACTAAAGACAAGCATTGACTTGTACAATAAACGAGTTGTCGAAAAAGTTCTGCGCCATAGACAATGACAAGAACCCTGATTTCATACTGCGGAAATTGTTGTAACTCGTTGTTGACGCTGTGTTATGTGCCCTTTCTGCACGAATACGATTTAGAAAGAAAGATCGGAATAGGAAGAATTAGAATGGAGAAAAGATAGATAGATTAGAAGAAAGAAGTGTTCTCCTTAATGGCGAGAACGGAACCCCTATACGTTTTTGAGGAAAGCCAACCTCCCAAATTAACATGTAGGTGTGTAAACCCTTTTTTTTATTATACTTGATTGATACCTCTTTCTCTGTACATCTCCTTTAAATAGAGAACATAAAACTAATAACCCTATAACCTAGCAAACTAATCGGAAAATACCAAAACAATTATCACTAAACTAAATTCCCTTAATTCTAGCCAACCACTAACACCACTAATTCACGTCACACTCACAATCTCACTTCTAAACCCCTAGTTAATTTCTAATAAAATTAAATAAATGCACAAGACACTCTGTTTAGATGTCTAGCCAGGGGAATAAAAAAAACACATGTTCAATTTGTGTGATTCATGGAACAGAGGAGAAATCATTATGACTCGAAGAAACTTTATATAAATGTCCCATATTATAAGTGGTTTCAGGATAATGTGATTTGAATTTTTTTTACCCCATGAGCTTGTATATATCAATTGTTACCATCTCTTGTATAAGCTTCTGTGATAATAAGGGACATAACTTTTTCATGCATTTTGAAAGAAGAGAAAGAAACCCACTCTGGGATTGACGACAAATCCCTTGTCAAAAGAACATCCAAACATGCATTATAACAAACTAACTGTTAATCATTTCATGCCAAGGTTTTTTACTGGGCTTCACTGAACTGAGCTTGTCATTAGCCTCAATATCCAGACTGACCAACTACATCCCATTGCAAGGGAATACAAAACAAATTATATGCATCCATCAACAGGTATGAAGAATGAACTTACCAATCTCCTTCAGCAGAAGTCTCATTTTCATGCTTTATCTCTTCCATTGCAAACTCTTCCAGTATAACTCTTTGTCTTTCATTTAGTTCCCTTGAAAAAGGAATCAGCAACATGTTTATGGTCATTAAGTAGCAAACCACAACTACGCTCTTCCGTCGAAACATACAACTCAATATGCTTATCATGCAAAATTCGCTTACATTGGGAGGTTGATCCTAAATCTCACATATTGATCTCCATGGTCGACAAGAAAGCCATGCCGTAGCAGTCCTTCAGAACAAAACAGAAACTTTGAGCATATGCGCAACTGAAGGGGAAGATCAAACTTACAGCAAGAAATACAACACACCTTTGTGTCTCAATACCAGAAGTTGTCTGTGCTGAACCCCCCTTGGTATCTAGTACAACATTAAAGAGGGAAATATAGGTTACGACAAAATGCCAATATCTGCACATATATCAACATATACTATTGGCAATTATCTGAAGGCACAGTGTAGGTTTCCGGTGTACATAATAGTGCATTCCCTTCAGATACTACCGACTCACAGCTTTCTATTTCCAACAGCTACTAATGTAAGTCGGCTGCCCATCTCTAAGATGTACCATTTACAAATGTGGGAGAAAGTAACCACATATGACAATTGACAAAACAAGCTCCTCAACTTCAACAAGAACTGTAGGGAAAATATTGAAAGCAAGCAAATTAAGGACAAGCTAAGGCAACAGTCTGTTACTTGTACTTGCATCTTCCCTGACAAAGTTGGCACCTCAATTTTGCCACCCAGGGTTGCCTGTAAAAAGGATACATATAATGACATGGCATCATCTCTTTCACCCCAAACCCAGACTTTTGAAGAGATCAAGTTCAACTTAGACAGATAAGATCTAAACCCCTGTGCATTGCCAGAGCCAGACAAGCAGCAATATTTAATCAGGTGCGAACACTTTGAGAAGAGAACTAAAGGTGGGAACAAGGAACACAAAGTAAAAGCTGGAAATTGAATACAATGCCAAAGTATACAGCAACAAACTCTAATACAATATATGGCGAGCAGGGTAAGTCAGATAATAAAGATAGCTAGCACCTACAGTTTATCGTGAAGCTAGACTCCAAGAACTCACCATGTCATATTGCCCCCTTTTCTCAGGATCGTGCGGAGTCTAAGATTTATCAGAGCAAAAGAAACAAATCACTATCAGACATTCAAAGCGAGTGTGAGACTCATTCAAGACTTACAACCCAGCAATGATAAAATTTACAGACAGAGTGCTAGAAATAAGAACGGTAAGGACAGTGCATGTTATGAACCTCATCGGTTTCTCGTATCTCTAAGACTTTCTTTTTTGCAGAAGGGTTGTTCTTGTTTGCATCAGGATGGTACTTTTTCGCCAACTGCATGTACGATAAATGGATATATGTAAACATGTTAACATGGCTGATTGACCATTTGAAAATTCCCCATGAGATATTTCATTATGTAAGGTGTTATAGTTCAAAGAGAGCAAAATTCTTTTACAATTTACGCAAGGTTTGCGTACCATATGCATAAGTCATTCACTGAACCAATATCAAGATGAAGCATTTAGGCTCCAAACTGCAACTTAGTAGTAATTTGATAGAAACAATCATGACTCGATGCAACTAATTAGCATGCAGATCAGAGCATGGAATGAAGCGAATTGGTTCCATCCTAACAAAACCTCAAGCCATTTTTAAATAGCACACAACCCACCGCAACTCATGAATGCACTCACCAAACGGAATGCTCGTTTTATATCTTCTTTGCAAGCATTTTCAGGAACGCCAAGAACTTCATAATAGCTTTGTTCCTTGGCATGAAGGGATCCTGGCAAAAGCGAAACCATATTTAACCTGAACCACAAAATTCAAGTTCCGGGAGTAGAAGAACCTAGAGAGAGCACCAAAAAACCTGTAGCACGACCGAATCTCCACCATTCCAACACCAGTAGGCCTTCCACTCGAAGTATACCTCTGCAGAACTTATTAAACGAGAAGATCGGAAACAACAAAAATTTGTAAATGGGAGCTCATTGAAAAACAACAATTCCACTGAATCAGGTTTCGCTTAGTGCTTACCGTGATAAGGAAAACCAGAGGGGGACAATGTAGTGATTCTACGCAGCCTATATCCTCCATTCCCAGCGGCTTCCACAGCCGTGGATGATAACAAATGTTGCTGGCACTGCAGGGCATCAAAAATTTCTCAGCTGAATTGTTTCAATCAGTAAAAATACAGTGTTTGTCATTGCGAATCCTTTTCACTTATTAGCTTGAGCCAACTGTAACTTCCCATTCCGGAGTCAGAAACGAACAACGGCGGTGCGGCGACAAGTGATTATGATCAGCGATGGGTTTCCATGAAACGACAGCTCCTCCGGAGACGTGAGGAAGGAAGAGAAAAACAGAGAACCCCCGACAAAGTGAATTGAATGTACCCTTGTTCTGCAGGAATCGAAAATTTCATTTCTGCCTAAATGCCCTGTTGATGTGACAGACAAGTCTATACATTCTTAATCTCCGCAATCAGGATTTACGGAAAGAAAATCAAAAGACCATAGTATGACGTGACAAACAAAAATAGCCATCGAGCAACAAAACAGAAGCTAGGATTCCGCTTGGAATTAGAATCTGAAAAACTAGAGACAGTACGTTGTGTAATAAACCTACCAGATAACTGACATGCAAAGAAAACATATGCTCTAGATACTAATTGAGCAAGAATACTCAATTCTATTCTGTCATAGCAAAACATCTAATGAACAAATTTGGCATCTCTAAGAAGCCACTTAGTGCAGAGACCAACAAGGACATTGGTTTATCTAAAGTAGTTCCAAATGACAACACAACACTATCACACTATTGCTTAGGGCAAACAAACAAAAGTACCTGTCCAAACTCAAACAAGCTCAATGCTTTCCTACTGGCTTCATCATACTCAGCTTCAGTCATCAGTCCAAGTTTGATTATCTGCATCAAACAAAATCAAACTACCCAATTACAGAAATGCAGGGATTAAGATGGCAACCAGCAAAATATTTACAGGAAACAATAATGAAAGCAAGTAGAGGCTACAAAATAATTTTATGATGCCTCGATTTGCTATTTTTGTATTTTACTATCAACATTCTCCTTATAGAATTATACTATGATGATTACAAGTTGAAGATGGCAATTCTTTAGAAAACCTCTTGTGGAGTTACGGGGACATCATGATCCTCAGCCTTGGTTGTTGGAGTGATTATGTTTTTCTGCAGCTTTTGATTTTTCACCAAGCCTGTGCAGACATTTTAGCATCAGCCAGTAGTCATGGATGGTAAAAAAAAGTTTATGGCAAATAAAGAAACCAACTGATTAGTTAATACTCACCATCTGGAAGAGCATTGCCACAATAATTTCGCACACCTTTATTATATACTGTCCACAGCGATGTATCAGTACTTCCTGTCACATATCCTCTCACTGCATAATAGCAAAAAATGACCAAGCCCTTGATAAGAATCGACCTCTAACAAAACCAAACAGATATGATGTCCAAATGCTCACCAACAAATTCAACAGGGAAGACCGAGCATTTTTCTTATCAGGAACAGACACCACAGCATTCGGTGTAATGTGTAGAGTTTTATCAAACCATCACAGGCTCGTCTCATTAAGAACCTGAGGAGCAAGACCGGTTGGAGAGTGACTCACCAGCCCTCCCAACCGGATTAGGGAGCACCAAAGAAGACTGAAATGTAACGTACCTGTCCTTTGAAAGGAATGGAAGCAAGAACTCTATCCAATGCACTCTGCCTATCAGTGGTTACCAGAACAAGGTACTCTCCACCATCGTAAATATCCTTCACCTGCAAGAACAACAGCGATTGAAAAATTGTTCACACATGTTACATCTTAACTGGTTAATTTCAAGAGAAAAGCTCCGTACTTGTTTCAAGAATCAATTTTTTTTTACCTTCCCTCTAGTTTTGGACTTGAGACCTGGAACCGTCAAATGAAGATTCGTCTCAGAGAGGCAATTGGACAAGCCACCCTTAATCGCATCAAGAACACCCTCTTTGCGGCTGCTATCGAGTAGACACAATTTCTCGAGGTGGTTGTGTTCACTCTTCAGCGACATAAAAGATACAGAAATTCTGCGACAATTTTGAGTGGATTTCGGTTGGAAGGAAGAGATCGAAGCGGAAAACGTACCGGGAAACAAAAGCCTCTGGTTGTTGGTCAAAGGGGTTTTGGGCGGGTTTAAGGTTTTCATAGTTAAAGCCTGCTCTCGGTTTAGGTTCTTTTAGCTAAGAGATGAAAATCACGATTTTTAACCTCTGAGTTGCTTGGGCAAAATGGCGGCCGGACAGTGATCGGCGAGAACGTGGATTCCGTCCGACCAACAGGGACGATGAAGGGGAAACGGCGGGATAAAAAAAACAGCGTGAACTATCGGCGGATGCCGCGAATCACTGAAGGAGATAAAGGGGTAATTATCATAAATGGTCACAAACCTATTCACTTTGTACAAAATGATCACAATTCTTTAATTTTGCACGTTTCAGTAATATAAATTTGAACAAATAACAAAAAGGTCAATCCGTCCAATTCCGTCCAAAAATCCGTTACTTTTACTTACTCAGCATGACACATCATCAAATAAATTAATAAAAAGTAATTTAATCATTCGAATTAACCCGTCCAACTCTAACCGGTTCTATAGCTCAGTTATGTATCCACCAGCCCGATTCATCCGATTTGGCTATTAGCAATAGCAGCAGAAGCGCAGAAGGGCCACGGCCACAGCCGCAGAGTCGTCGCTAGAGGATAAGAGCGAAGTCGACGGCGGTGGGATTCTAGGGTTCGCTGGAGAAAATGGAGGGAGAGGCGCCGCTCCGCCAAGGAAAGACCTTGAACGGTAGGTACCCGATGCACTGTTAAGGCCAAGTAATTAAGCACTAATTCCCCACAAACGTGATGAATATAATGGATCAATAGGAAAATACCATAATAAGCCTTGAGAAGGGCGCATTGAGTTCATCCCCAAAATATGCCTGCCCGACATCTCTCTCCATTAGCTTCAGGAAATCCATATGATCAAACGACTTATACAGCAAAGGATGCTCCTCATCTACCAGCTCTGTTGGAGGGAGGAGGGGATTTCCGGTGGTGGAAGCGTGCAGATCCGTGGACGTCCAATGGGCTCTCCTCTTTCCTCGGCGGAGTGGTTCATCTCCCTCTCTCTTCTCCAGCGAACCCTAGAAGTCCACTGTCGTCGAGTTTGCTCTCTCCCCGAACGACGACTCCTGCGACTGCGGCCTGTCTGTCGCTTCTGCTACGGCTGCTAATAGCCAAATTGAAGGAATCGACCGGGTGGGTACATAACCGTGTTATTGAACAGGTTAGGGTTGTGTAGTTAATTCGAATGATTAAATTATTTTTTTATTATTATATTTGATGACGTGTCATGTTGATTGGACAAAATAACATATTTTTGGACGGAATTGGACGGATTGATCTCTTTGTTATTTGCTCAAACTTATATTACTGAAACGTGCAAAATTAAAGAATTTTGACCGTTTTGTACAAAGTGAATAGGTTTGTGACCATTTATGATAATTACCCGAGATAAAATAGGGTTGTAGGAGGGCCCACACATGGCCATGGTAGACCCATAATTTGATCCATATGGGTATTGGGTTGGACCCAAATTAGGGGTGGCAGTTCGATTGTCGGTTACTGGTTAATTGCCAACCTTCGGTTAACCGATAACCGAAAATTATATGCTTCGGTCGGTGGTCGGAGCTCCTAATAGGTGATTCGGTTAACCGACTAACCAAAACCCTGTTACCCAGTTAACTGAAAATAACCGGCCAACCACCCCTCTTCACCAAAATGACGTGAAAATACCCGGTTATGAAGTTTATTACTTTATGTTGTTGAATTTGAGACATTAATTTGGTGATTTAAATGTATTTTCTATACAAATGTGATTGAGAATTTATTTTGGGTGTGATTTAGATGTAGAAATGTTGGTTTGAACTTTTCATTTTAGGCGATATTAATAATTTTACCCGGTTAAAACCGAACCGCCATCATTTTTTCGGTTACCTCGGTTAACCGACCAACTAATCAATAATCGATCGGTCGGTTTCAATTAACTGAGGCATTATCGTCGGTCGGTGTTCGGTAGGGGGAGATGGTGGTTCGGTTATCGGTTATAACCGAACCGATTCCACCGCTAACCCAAATGGACTCACAAGCACTTTTAATGATTTGGGTATGGGTTGGGTTTGAATTGTGTCCTATTTGGGTTAGTTTATTTGGGTTATACCCAAGGTTGTCAAACAGGTTAATACCGATGCGTCGATTTTTGCAAGTAGAATGGTCTGATCGTGGTACAACCAGTATTTATACCGGTTATGCTTATTTTAATAAAATATATGAGAAAAATAGAAATCATCAATTTTAAATAAATTAATCATGTAAAAGGAATTAGGAGAATTATTTCACACAAAATCAATTACAGCTAGGAATTGGTAAATAATAGTAAGCAATTAGATACGTAAAAAGAAAGTATATAAAATAAATTTTATTAATGTTTATTATGATTTGTATAAAATATAGTATTAGATATATATAATAGATAAGGTTAATATCTAAAAAAAGTTCATTGTAGCTTGCCAGTGTATAATTGATACTAATGTGTGATAATAAGGTATTGAACATAAGGTATTTGGGTCAAACCTTATGAAGGATGTTTATTTGGATATCATGTGTGATAATACTGAATTCTGGTTTATGGCTAACCGAGCGGAATTCCAGGATTTGACCAGGTTTGACCGACATTGACCAAATTTTACCAAAGCTAAATGTCGACCCCTTTCTAGTAGGTTTGGTGACGGGTACCGGTTGAACCGGTAGGTAGGAAGTCGACATGACAATGTTGGTTATACCTAAATGGGTCTAATTGGGTCTAGATTATTATCTATAGGGGTGACAATCGGTTCAGTTCGGTTACAACCAGAACCATTTAGTCGTTCTCGTTAACCATTAAACATTTCATGCTTACCGTTAACCACACCATTTATATTACTCGGTTAATCGTAACCGTATAGTCGATTCTCGGTTATTTTGTTGGTTAATCGGATAACCGTTAAGCAAGTTATTCGGCAAGGTTATACCAAAATAACCGATCGGTAAACTAACCAACATAAGACCTCCTCCTTTTTTTCATTGTGCATTTGTGTAAAAAATTTCCTACATACGTATGTGTTCTTCTTTTAAGTTGTTATCATTGAACATAAAATGATTTAACATAGAAATCAATCCATGATCAAGTCAATCCTACACAAAAACTTCATTCTAGCGTCAAATTTGATTAAGGAAGCAAAACAAGAATAAGATACCCAACAACAATTACTCAGCTCATAAATCCTACCAAATTACATGGATACTTAAATATTACGAAATATTGTCGAAATATCGTGTGCAAGTTCAACTTCTACTGTGCTCTTTCTAAATCCCTTCCTTAAAATTATTCTCATTTGAAACTAAGTCACTATTACAAATAGGGTAGGCAATGGATCTTGTAACCATTCAAATGCCCCGTTATTTATGGCCTATGCCTATGCCTCGTCAATGTTTATTATTTATTGCCTCGTCTATCCCTTCGGTACGCATGAACTCGTTGATCCCCCATTGGAAGTGGATCGAATTTGCCGAGAGGATCTATTTGGGGTCAGCTTCCCCAAGCAAGTTATTCGCGAAGAAGGCCCATAATGGGGTGGTTCTGCTCTGTTGCTCCCCTGTTTTGGTGCGGTTTTTATGGATGTTCTTCTTGTTTTTGATTCCTTTTCTAGCCGTTTGGAATCTGTAATTCTGGAAGCTTTGCTTAATTGCTTCCCTTTAATAAAAAATAAAAAATAAACTATGACGATGGTCGTAATCGGTTATTCAGTTAACCGTTTAACCGTCGGTTACTAACCATTTAATTGTCGATTATTAATTTAGCTAAATTTGACTACCGAGAACCGATCTTTTACTGTTTAATCGGTTGTCGTTAACATCGGTTCCGGTTCGGTGATTGGTGACATCGTTAACGGGATAATCGTTTACCATCCCTAATTATATAGACAAAAAACAATATCAATTATTCATTAACTACTTTCAACCCAATTGTACACATTTAATATAGGTATTTCCATCTTTCAATTATTTTCATAACAAAAAAAAATTGCATTATAATTGGGTACCCATTTTCTTACGGACTTACTATTTTATGGGTCCAATTTAGACCCAAACCAAAAAAATTAGGTATGGGTATTCAAAAAAAAAAAAAAAAAATTCTCAAACTTGATTTGATTCATAATAACTTGGGTTTTGGTAATACCCAAACTTTGAAACCCAATTGCCATCCCCAGATGGACCGGTGGACATTTCTAATTTTTACTAATCATTGTTGGGCATATCATTCTCTGAGTTTTAGATAGATTGTTGCAACTTCTAGCGATTTTAAGAGTGGGAGGTGGGGTAAGCATAATTTTCAACACATTCGTACCTATTTTGGTTAATTTGTAATAAGAGGGGATGCAAAATTGAACATGTAAATTTATTATTTTGGCTTACCTTTCAAATTGTCAATATCCGTCTAGTTAAATCGAGATGTCTTAGTTGACTCAAATTTGTATTAAAAATTAGAGATAAGAAATGTTTGTGAAAAAGGTAGATAGAAACATTCTGGTTCGCTCAGTTTCCTTGTCTAAATTAGACACGAGAACCTTGTAGGATGACCAATTACTAGTTGGGCTTCGAGTTTCGAGGTTGCTCGACCAATAATTATTATATAGTTGTTATAATTAAGTATTCATTGAGCAAAACTATTTAATAATTAGTTTCATTAAATTATATTTATTATTATTAGATAATGATTTTTGTTTTATTATTTTGTGATTATCTTTTCTAAATTTGATAAGTCTATTTCATAGTAATATAATTTACTTACTTTTTACTCTATTTGCACCCCGTACTTTTAATATAAATAACAATTTTCATATCCACTTACACCTCCCCCAATTTACATTTCATCAACTTGCACTCTCTCGAATTTGCACCTCCTTGTTGCCACACATATTGTAAAGTAGTTTGCTGAGGATTGGAGCGATGTCCATAAAATTTTTAGGACTTTTTCCAGAAATACCACTGTTTAAAAAAAGAATTCCAAAAATACCACCCAACCCCAAAAAATTCCAAAAATACCACCATTTTTCAAAAACCGCCACCCCACCCTGCGGTTTACACGAAAACCGCTGGGCGGGGGCCCGATTTTCTATAAAACTGCTGGGTTAAGGGGAGGTTATAAAAACCGCTGGGGGGTGGCGGTTTTGGGCCAAACCGCCACCCCACCCAGCGGTATGGTCCAAATTTTTTTTTCTTTTTCGATCAACTCCTAACTTCGGCCGAAACTTCAAACGAACGTAACTTTGCACTCGGGTATCCGATCGTAGCAATTTTTTTTAAATCCAAATAACTTTTCGAGATCTACAACTTTTACAAGGATGAAATTTTAAAAATAGGAATTAGTTGTGGATATACGAGACCTTGGGAATTACTTTACCTTTACTTTTCACAAATCCATGTACATTTCGAAATTAGGATTATCTTAGAAGTTGTAGATCTTGAAAAGTTATGCAGAATAAAAAAAAATTTACCATGTTCGGATTTTGGAGCACAAAGTTAAGGTCGTCCAAAGTTTGACGAAATCTAAAAAAGGCTCGTTCGGAGTAGCAAATGACGTTTTTTCGAGACGAAGGCGGGACCAAACCGCCTACGGCCATTTGTGACTTGCAAGATCTCGAAAAGTTATTCGGATTAAAAAAAATCACTACGATCGGATACCCGAGTGCAAAGTTACGTTCGTTTGAAGTTTCGACCGAAGTTAGGAATTGATCGGAAAACAAAAAATTTGGACCAAACCACTGGGTGGGGTGACGGTTTGGCCCAAAACCGCCGCCCCACCCAGCGGTTTTTATAGGTTTTTATAACCGTCCCTTAGATCAGCGGTTTGCATAGAAAACCGCGCCCCGCCCAGCGGTTTTCGTGTAAACCGTAAGGTGGGGTGGCGATTTTTGAAAAAGGTAGTATTTTTGGAATTTTTTGGGGTTGGGTGGTATTTTTGGATTTTTTTTAATAGTGGTATTTTTGGATTTTTTCCAAATTTTAAGGATAAAGTGTTAAACAAATACATTGATTGTCATCTATCAACGCAGTGTTTCATGTTGGCGCTCCATTAATCACCCATTGGAGAATACTCGGATCGCCTTAAAACACGCGATGAATGTCACATGGCATTTGATCATGCGGTCCAACATCGGTTTAACGGAAGTGCTCTGATTTCTTTCTTTGGATACGGATCACGGGCGAGAGCAACTATCAACCGCTTTTTGTTGTAGATGTGGATGATTAACGGTCATTGTTGAATAGAGAAGTGATCCGCTCCCCCATCCAAATGGACGAATGAGCTCTAAAGTGACAACCGTTTTTCATATTATAATTTATTTTATATTCAATTCTTCATACATTTTTTATTATGATTTATCAACGAGAATCACTGGCAAGACCGCAAGAAGACTCATGTTTTAGTAGAATAACCATGATATACTCGTTGAAAAACCTTGTTTGCTCATAAGATTTCTTTATTCTTTCATGTTTATCTTACAAATAAATGGCGTTTCGGTGAGAATCATTGGTGGACCGCATAAGTTTTTCGTGAATATACCATTGTTTTAACTTTTACGGGCTTGAACTATCAAGAAAGTGCCATCTGTGTCCCGAACTATTCAATATGATATTTATGTCATGAACTATTTTTCCGTTAAAGTTGACCTTCTTTGACCGTAATTTCTAACAGAAAGTCTAGTTAGTGTTGATGTGGCATCTTATGTGAAACTTTTATTATTTTTTATTTATTTTTCTTATTGTTTAAAATAATAATTAAAATGAAAAACAAAATCTCTCCGACCACTTTTCCCTATCCATGAACTAGGTGTCGTCCCCTGCTCCTCCGTCGACTCCTTCCTCCGCGCCCACACCCGCAACCAGTCCCGGCAATCCTTTCCCCTGGACTCCCACTCCTTTATCGGCAAGCTTTATAGCTTCCAAGCTTCCGACGACACCTTTGCCGCCTCTCCTTCTCATCCTTCGCTTGTTGTCAGTCCCTCACTTCAAGGAGAGGAAAGGTTTGATTTGAGGATTGGCTATTGGAATTAGGATTTGGTGGTAAGGGCAGACTTGGAATCGAGACTCTTTTCATAGCGGGAGCCTAGGATTTCTGGTCGAGAACTTTCATAAATTTTCTCACTATGGCGGAAGCGAGTGAGAGCTTCAGCGAGGGAGAAGATTGGAGATGGGGGAGTGAGGCAAATGGTTGCGATGGTGGTTAGGTGAGGCGTCAATGGATTGAGGCTTGGCGGATGAACTTCAGGTGAATTTGGGGCGGCGGGGGCAGTAGATGGTTATGTCGGCCACGTTTTCCCACCACCAACAACAAATTCAGTCTCCGGACACCGCTGCTCCGTCGACATCATCATTGGTCATCGTTCGCCATCCGATCGAGAATATGTTCTAATACATCGGCCGCTTGGAATCATAACTCGAAACCAAATCTACTGTACAGGCGAGAGCGAGGGAGGTAGGGGAGGGAAGGTGTTTGTGCATGGATCGTACCAGGCGGTTTTGTGAGACTTCATTAGCCTCGTGCGGCTTTCGATAGACGGGGGGCGGTCTCCGAAACCCTGCAAGAAAGGCCCTCAGGGGGAATCCTGAGACCTCCTCCGATGCCAAAGTTAGAGAGAGAAGTGAATATGTTGTAAATAAGAGAGAGAATCGAGTAGATCGAAGTTACCATAAATGTTGCTCCCTTGGGGCTATTTATATTAACTCTGGCTTAGACCGAGGTATTAATGTCCTTTCAGGCGACCTAGGACGCTTCTAGACTCATTAAATGTTGCGTCAGTACGGATGTCTGACTTAACTTTCTCTGTCCGGAAGAGATCAGAGGAGCGTCAGTCCTCTGTGTCGGGCGGTTTTGTCAGTATGTTTGCGCATCATTGTCGGGCGGTCTGCTCGTGGTGTGTTGCATGTGAGACCGCCACGCCTTAGCCTGCTTTCTTTGTGGCTTTGTAACCATGGGCCTCAGGGCCCACATATTCCAATACTTGGCCCAACAGAAGGTAAGGGAGAGCAAGGGATGTAGGGGAAGGGTATGTGATAGGGGAACTAAGGGAAGACAGAAGACGCAATCGCCCTAGTGAGATTTTTAGTTGAAGGAGTTTTCCGGTGGAGTAAGATGAGTGAAAAGAGTAGGTTTAGTTTTTATTTACTTTTATATAATATCATTTTCCTCATTTTAATTTAGTTTTAAATTTATAATAATCTGATGTGGCATTTACGTGGTTGTTTGATTTTTGCCACATCAACAAAATGTAACATCACTTTGACCACCGTCTGGTCAACCATTATATTTAACGGTAAACAAAATCGTCATGACATAAATGACACACAACTATAATAGGTTAGGATATAAATGTCATATTGAATAGTTCGAGATACAAATGACACTTTTTTATAGTTGGGAGTTCCTAGTGGTATTAGCCCATGTTTTAATTTCGTAAGTTTTATTAAACACATCTACATCTACAAATATATTATAGCAGAGCTGGGGACATAAATGTCATATTGAATAGTTCCATATACAAATGACACTTTTTTATAGTTGGGATTTCCTAGTAGTATTAGCCCTTGTTTTAATTTTGTAAGTTTTATTAAACACATCTACAAATATATTATAGCAGAGCTGGGAGTAGGTTTTCAGCATTTCAAATTTCCGGCCACGAGAGCGAAAATAGGAAGAGTAGATTTTTCTTCGCGACTATTATTTATTCCTTATTCACAAGAAAAAATACAGTAGTCTCGAGATTTGAACCATGATTTTTTCAGACAAAGGAAATATTTCTTTTTATCTTTTTAAATAAAAACTACAAAACCTAAAATCTGAATCATATGACTATTTCACTATTTTTAGCTAGCACACTAACTCTCCCATAGTACTTTCTTTGGTGTTTGATATTTGAATTTCATATTTCGATTATTTGAATGTGAGGATATGGGTTGGACCTTTGGGTTAGAAGTTTCCGTAGTTAGTAGGGTTAATACATGAGCCAAGTGATCCATTAGGTTAAGGTCATAGTACAGTAGGAGTCTCGTATGGTGTACCCAAGTCGGCTGTAGTCAGGTAGTAACTAGGATTTGGTTATAATTAGAGCTAGTTGTCTATATATTGTAACTACGACATTAATCCAAAATATTTAATAAATAATAAAATAGGTTTTCAACACTTAGTTACATCGTGCTAATTTGTGTTGAATCGTAAATATATGTACTTATGTGTGATGTGTCCATATCAGCACACTCCTAACACTATTGAGATTAGTAATGAAACTTATTACAAACAATATCTTAAATTTAGCTGTTTTGACGAACACTAGATTGGTCTAGTGATAATAATACTAATTTTGAACTTGAAGGTCTCATGTTCGAATCTCTTAATTAGTATCTAATAACAAAAGGCAAGTCATGTCACCCTTATAAAAAAAAATCTAGTTGTCTTAATAAAAAAATTACACATTAAATAGTTGGCTATACAAATATATTTTACCAAATTTTCTCTTAATAATAGTATTTTGAGAAATTTTGGTCTAGAAAAATCACTTACACAAGGTGTCACGTAAGATGTCACGTGCTTCATACAAATCACGCAACGGGCTGTCGCGTCGCCAAGGGCCAACGAATCGTAAGCTTAACACTCTGTTTGGGAAGAGGGGTAAATGGTAGGAGGGTGCAAATGTGAGGGGTAAACACAGTTTCCAACACATTTGCACCTGTTTGGTTAATTTGGAACAGTAGGGGGGTGCAAAACGGGAGTGCAAATTTACTGTTTCGGCTTACCCCCCGAATTGGGGTGCAAGGGAAGGAAGGAGGAGAGGGGGAGGGGGGAATTATGGAATTTTATTTTTCTAATTGTGTTATATATAATTATATAATAATTAATATTATCAATTTCTTCTTTTTATAAATATCATTAATGTAAACATTATCGGGGTTGACCATTTGACTCTGGAAACAAGTTTATCAATGTTCGTCAAGTCAAATCTAGATCTCTTGGTTGAATCGAATTTGCATTGAAAATTAGAGATACGAGGTGTTTGTGGAAAAGATAGAGATAAATTGTTTGGTTAACTCAGTTTATAAATAGTTAAAACTTACATATTCGAACGTGTTTGACTAAGTTTGACAATTTAAGATAAACTAGACACGAAAACCCTATATAGGATGACCAGTTACGAGTTGAGCTTCCAGTTTTGAGATCGCTCGATCAATGATTATTACAATTGTTATAATTAATTATTATTTGAGCATTATCAAATAATTATTATATAATAACTATTTTTAGTAAAGTATATTTATTATTATATAGTAATATTTATTTTATTATTTTATGATAATATTTTAAAATTTTAAAATCTATTTTAAAATGTTAAAATCTACTTTAAAATAATATAATTACATACTTTTCATTCTATTTGTACCCCTATTTTTTCATTCAAACAACAATTTACCCCTCCACTTACACCCCAAGCAATTTGCACCCCCAACAATTTACCATGCAATTTGCACCCTCCTTATTGTCAAACAAAACGTAAGTCAAGTAAAGTATTATTGACTTCACAGATCCCCAAACTCTTTTCCCTTGACGGATCAGATCCCAACACGTATCAATTAACTTCCCAGTCCTCGGACCCGGATACTGGACATGGATCCGGGAAAAAATAATTTGGTATGCCCGACATAAACCGCAACCCGACACGTCGGTCAGAAGAAGAGATAGAACGTGAACCATTGTTACACGATCTGCGCTAGACCTTTCTTCTTTCTTCCTCTCCTCCAATTTCTCCCCGTTTCTCTCTGTTCCGATGTAAAAGAAAAAAAGATTGTTATACGATCTCCGTCTCCTTTTCCACCTCTAATTGTCGGCGCGGAACTTTTCTCGCGCCTCTGATTCGGATTCTTGGGTTTTCTTCGGAGCTCCTTCAGCAGTATTCGGGTTGAGATTCGTCTCGCGTTTGCCCCACTGGCAGATCGCGGGGGAGGGAATTCGATTGCATTCAATTTCCTGTTCTGCTGGTTCGTAGGCGTCGGACGGAGTGGTCTCATCTCCCGGATTCGGAGGAAGGTTTGTTCTCGCTGCACCTTTTTTTTCTGCTGCATCTATTGTTTCAGTTTGGGTATGTGTGTTTGAGTCCTGGATGGTTCCTGATTTAGGGTTCTAGCCATTTGTTTGGTGAATGTGGGATGACTTTTTGTCGCTATTGTTGTGGTGGGATTAAAGGAAATTGGGTAATTGGTGTTCTGTGATTTGTGTTAGTTTTCTGCTTCCTATAATATGCAATCGAACCATCATTCAGTGGGAGCTTGAATGGACATTTTGCAGGCTTTCTGCTCTAGGATTTGAGCCCAGAAGTCTTTAGTTCGAGGTTTTCCTGTTTCCAAGCTTCTACAGATGTGCTAGTAAATTCTTCCTTGGTATTTCTTATCCGCCAATCTGATTTGATGAGGAGGAAACGGAAAGGGAGCGAAAGTGATGCCTGTGACGATATACAAGCTAGAATTACATCGCCCAGTGATCATGACGCTACAAAGGCATCTAATTTGACGTCCTATTACTCATTAGAGGATTACAATAGGATAAACAAGAGGTGTAAAGAAGGTGCAGGTGATGAACCCGTCAATTCATTCAAAAGTAGACTTGCAGGTGTGGCTACTGCACCACCTTGTGGCGCTTCATCGTCCTTGGTGTCACCTGGAAGGGGCCTTAAGAGAAAATAGGGTGTATAGAAGTTGCAACTCAGACTGGTAGAAAGAATAAGATTGAGGATGACTATGTTTTTGGTGCCACACTGGGGCGTGGCAAGTTTGGGTCGGTTTCTTTGTGTACATCAAGGGCATCTGGAGAGGAGTTTGCTTGTAAGACCTTAAAGAAGGGGGAGGAGACTGTTCATAGGGAGGTGGAGATAATGCAACACTTATCTGGACATCCTGGGGTTGTGACCTTGCATGCTGTGTATGAGGAGTCGGAATGTTTTCATCTGCTGATGGAATTCTGCTCTGGGGGGCGATTGATCGATCAGATGGTGAAGGAGGGCCAATACTCTGAGCAAAGAGCTGCTAATATATTCAAGGATGTGATGTTAGTAATCAAGTATTGCCATGAGATGGGGGTTGTCCACAGAGATATTAAGCCTGAGAATATTCTTCTTGCTACTTCCGGAAAGATAAAACTGGCAGATTTTGGCCTGGCCATGAGGGTTTCAAATGGTGGGTATCCGCCTCAATTTGTTTGTGTGGTTAGTATATTTAATGGTTCCTTGAGATCAAGAAAAACAATTTTTCATTTGTGTGCTTCTGTTGAAGTGATAGATATGCTTCTATAATTATTGTTGCTGGTGACCATTAGAAATCAGAGGAGCTGTTGTTGAACAAGATGCTGTTAGGTCTACCTCTTTTTATTGATGTGTTGAATTTGCATACTATTGTTTATGAGGCCACAATGTGTTGGCTGCATTATTTAGAATATCAATGAGGCAGAATAGAGAAACGTCGACCCACAGCCTCCAGTTCCCGACCCCCAACCTTCACTGCCCATTGCCATGCTTGGAACAAAAGAAAAAGCATAAATAGAAAGGATAAATAACAGTGTCAGAGGCTCCTGCTAGTTTATTGGAACGTATTTTGCTTTTCAAATCTGGGTTACTTCAGCGGCATAGCGCCTGGTACTCGAGCATTGTCTCGAGGCATGTTCTCGACCCCTTCTTACCCTGAAAAAGCAGGGACACCGTGCATCTTGAACCGATAACCATCTTTCGGTTAACCTAGCTTCCTTCGTCCCTCGGGACCAAGAAGGGGTAGTACTGGAATACTCACATGTTGTCCATCGACTATGCCTTTCAGCCTGATCCTAGGCCCTGGCTGACCCCTCCATTTACATTGCTGTTCCGTTCTAATGATAACCCTATCTCTGGGTAACCACATTTGATGGTGTACAGTCTATGTATTCTATAGTTACTTGTAATAAAGGCATGCTACATCAGGAAAAAAGAACAAAGTGGAACTAGGATGGGCTGTTAGCTATTGTTTTACAGGACCCCTGTTCATGTGCATTTTTTGGTGGTTCAATCAGTGGTGCTTGTTATGCAACCCCTTAGAAACAACTGGTTCTTATCTCCTTTTATTGTTTTTTATGGATGGTATAGGCAATGTTAGAATACCATTGTTCAAGGGATCAGATCTCCTGAAACTTCTTTAATCTTGTTTGATATGCAGGCCAGACATTATCTGGTTTGGCTGGAAGTCCGGCATATGTTGCACCTGAAGTTCTGCAAGGAAATTATTCTGAGAAGGTTGATATATGGAGTGCTGGTGTCTTACTACACGCCCTTTTGGCTGGTGCTCTTCCATTTCAAGGTGACTCTTTAGATTCTGTCTTTGAGGCTATCAAAACTGCGAAGCTTGATTTCCAGTCAGGTATATGGGATTCGGTCTCCAAACCTGCACGTGACTTGCTTGCAAGAATGTTGACTAGGGATGTTTCAACGCGGATAACTGCAGATGAAGCACTGAGTAAGCTTTTATTAACATGTACTCTTGGAATATGAAGCATGTTTGCTTTTTGTCTAAGTTTCTAGACACGTTTGCTACAGCAGTTACTACCCAGTTCTGCATGTCTTTGCTATTGGGACCTAACTTGCCCCATTTCTTTCATCGCTGAGTAGAAAGTATTTGAAACCCGCTATAGAAAAGTGGATCCCGCTTCTCTTTCTTAACTTTTTTAAACAATTTTTTTGTAAAAGTTTACTGAGTAGTATCAATCTGCAAACACAAGGAAACATACGCACACACATACTAAGCTGACAAACTGAGCTGCTTCTTTTTTCCAGGGCATCCATGGATATTGTTCTACACGGAGCGCACATTGAGATCCCTGTCCTTCAAGTCAAAACTACGGAATCAGGGCCAACCAACTTCGGGCCAAGCGACCACTTCACATGCATCAGAGTTGGGTAGAAGTCAGGTTGTAGGAGGCAGCTCTCTTATCGATAGGTCCCGGAACCATACAGTTTTAGATAGTTTAACCTGCAAGTCAGAAGAGGATGAAGAATGTGAATTTGTGGATGCACTTGCCGTGGCGATTTCTCATGTTAAGATCTCAGAGCCGAAAAGAAGCAGACTGTGTAGCCCGACAAGCCCAATAGAGGAGCAATGTTCAGCTAACATTACTGTCAGCACTCTTTGTAGAGCTTTCTGATCTTGTGCTGATGCCGACTGACAGAAATTGCTAACTTGATTATCTCGGCTGTCATTTTTTCGAGCTGGGGATTCACAAAATATGACAGACAAGAATAAAGGGGAGCCTTAGTTGCAGTTAGTTCTCAGTGGGCGACAAAGATGGTGGTTTATAAAGTTGGCATAAACAACCAGGTGTGGTCGGTATGTGGTGGTGGCGCCTTCTCCCTCGATAAAAAGTCTCTCTGTGAAGACGATTCTCTTTATATTCCTATTCGTGTAATTGACAATCTCACTTAATAATAACTAGTGACAACTTAGCTGAGCTTTGTACAGAATTTTGTATATAGAAGATTTTGCTAATGAAGCCGTTTTATTCTAGTTTGTCTCTCTTCTACACAACGACCTATACATTAGGCGATCATGTTTGCTGTCTTTATTGTGGAGTTGACAATCACCTCCTGATCCAAATTTGTCTACTCGTATTTAATCTCAATCTTCATTCTCGAGAATGACTACTTAAACAAAACAAGAGTAGCTGAACTCCCTGTTCCAAAGTCCGACAAGACACACCATGAATGAAACAAAAGCAATCTCCAAAATGTTCACCAAAGCAAAAGAAAGCTCTCATCCCATCTTCCCTCCATTAGAATAATCTCAACCACCCTCGTTCTCTTACTTCTCCTGCTTCTCCCTCTAACCTATTCAGAAAATGGCAAGCCATACCCTCTTCCACAAACGATGACTTAACTTCAAAGCTTCGAGACTCCATCATGTTCCTCCCACTCAAAGACCTCCGGTTCTCCAAAACCGCCATGGAATGCGATACCTGGTTCATGAGGTCGTTGATGGTGTTTCTCAATTGAAGTATTCCTCATCTAGTTCTTTTTCTTTTTGAAAGTGAAGACAGTGACGGAGACAGACATCGTGGCTACGCCACATGAGCTCAGCTGGCGAACATGCTGTTCACGGACAGAGGCAGCAGCGTGATGGAGTTCTTTCCCAAGGGATGGGTTGAGCCTGCTGGGATATGATAGTATGTGTTTCATTGGATGGCTAATCAAATGCCCTCCTCCTGATAATGAGCTGGAGTGCTTCTTCCACAAAGATGGCCAAGTGGTCCACAACGAAACATATTTTGGCGAGAAGGATTCTCAATTGAGAGATGCAAAGGTAGAAGAACATGGCAAGAGGATGAAGATAAAGGCCAACTCAAATGCCTGCACATGCTGAATTTATCTCTTGTTTTATTTACAGAATAGGTTGTATGTTGTCAAAATGAAAAAAAAAAAAAAAAAGTAGTACAGCTCTGGGGATTAGCTTGCTAAGTAGAACACTCTGATGACGAGGGGTTTCGTCTGTGTGGTGAAGAGAAGTCTATGTCTATCTTCTGGAAACTTTTGTCCAAAGGTAGAGGATGAAGAAGCAGAGGAGTGCAAACAGGACAACGTGGACTATATGATTTGAACCATTCTTTATGATGCTCTTGTTCAACTTCCTTATGTTGTTCTTCACGCTTGCTTGAGCTTTGATCAACGTCATTTGCTGTTCAATCAATCGGTAATGCCATAAGGTGGGGTTGCTTGCTGCATCTATTACAAGCAAGAATATATACTTTGTGCAGAAAACTAAGAAGTTGTTTCAAATAAAATCTCAGAGATACAATAGCAGCCTACTTTTCACAAATATTTGTGCTGCTCATCCTTACACCTCAAACAAAGGGCCTGCTTCTATTGCTGCTCAACCTTGTTAATGCATCCTGACTCATTAAGAAGTCAGAACTAACTAATCTAGCTTCTAGGAACCCGAAACAGGTAGGGTTTTGTGCACCATACAAGAAACAGAGTAGAAGCAAGTAGATGAATTCCCAGGACTGTAAAGAACGAGGGCTAGTGTATTGCCAACGTTTCTCACATAATAAAGGCAGTAAACAGTTATGTGGTTCCATCGTCTTAAATTACTCTAGAACATTTAGCATTCCCTTGTTATTACTAATGAAAAACTTATATCGCTCACAAGTCTAATTTAAACTTAAAGCATTGAAGGTGATAATTGTCGAAAACATATGGATTTTGTGTGCAAAACTAAAGAACCGATGTGAAAAAATGAAGCAATGAACAGAGCTTGTCAATTACCAAAAAGCATAATCAAGGATCATTTAACAAGAACCAAAGGGAGGAAAAACGAAGAAGGGCAATAAGACAATCCATGTTTAAGCAAAACTAAATAACATACCAACTGATCTAGAAAATCCTTTTGAAATTTTGCTTCTGTCCCGATATCTTGAGCCACCTGCACCATATGTACAACTGAAAAATGAGAAACATGACCAGACAAACACAACTAAACACGGATCAGCAGCCAAAATGACAACTTTATACCATGGAAAAGAATAAGCAGATATCAATCACCTTCTCATTGCACAAGCTTGATGAGCTAAAATTTCTATCTTGAAAAACTCAGGTTATGGTATTCAATCCATCAAGCTTGAGATTTAAAGCGAAAACTAACAATATGCTTTATGCTTAAGCAACCATCAGTAACGGGTTTCAAACACGAGAACTATCCGCTAGTGAAGACGCTTATACTGCTCTGGTAAACAGAATGTATTCATTTTACAGCCTTCCAAACAAGTGTCTCGTGAAAATTTATGCGCGGCAGAAATTCAAGCTAGACTGATATTCAATCTGCTTCATAAATCACATCACAAACAGCCTTGAGCGATGTTTCACCCAATCTAACGCTAAAAATCATCTATTGGGTAAATTAACATATGGAACTCGATCAATTCCCTCTTTCACCCAAGATATAATTGAATTGCAGGAACAACATCTTACATTTCTTAGCTGCTTGACTTGAGAACGGAGACCGGTTATCTCATCGTCGAAATCGGAGCTCATCGGATCAATCCGCAGCTGTATTTCGTCCGAGCTCGCCGCCTGCCTCGTACTAAGTCCATCCCTGAGTACCATTTCAAAATTGAACAGATATTCACCATCGATTCTGACATTCGATCGACTAACTAAAAACAAAGATACAGAAAATAAGGACGACCGAAAGAGGGGAACGAACCTCGAACGAAATGGAGCAGCGCCGCCGTGGAAGGGGCCTCCTCGGCTGGAACTGGCCGCCATAGGAAAGGGAAAGAGAAAGAGAGATCGAGCGAATTACGCAAAAAGGAAATTGGAGGTGACAAATTCTGAGAAAACAGAGAAGGCGGTTCGATCCCTTTTTGGTCTGAAAGAGAAGTTGGGAGGAGAAAGGTGATGGCTTCCGACGGCGATTGCGAGAGGAAATCCGCCCAAAGTTTTAATTCCCCAGATCGGGAATTGCTGGGAAAGTGATTCTTGTTCCGCCTGTCCGTTGCAAATGGGAACGAAGACGGATAGGACCAGGAATGCAACGCGGCTGCTTCTCATTCGATTAGTTGACGTGGTTTGAATTTTTTTATTGAGTAAATATAATTTAGGCAAAATACACGTGTATAGTCAAAACTTTCGTGATTGTGTCAATAATGGCCAAGTTTGACGAAATACCACTTATAGTCAGCTTTTAAAGTTGTTGTAGGATAAATATAGCCATTTCCATCAGATACTTTAACGGTGTTAATTACACCGTCAACTTATTTAACGGTTCGCTGACTAGGCACCAAATCAGTTGACACATCAGCGCCAAATAGACAAACAGTGACACGTCATATATTTTAATTATTTATATATAAAAAAAGAGATGAAATATCCTCTCACCTAATCTCCTTCCATTCCTCCGTACACAACTGATTATATCTCAATGCCCCCAAAAATTATAATCGAATCGTAGTCCCAAAAATCAATTAATGAAGGAACCATTTTCTCTAACCCTTCTCTTCAACCCTTCCCCTTCCTTCTTCCATCGGTAAAATCGCCCACTCATTCTTCTCAACCCTCCAGAACTCACCAATCCCAAGCCCAAATTCATCCACCAAAAAATCGTGAAGAAGAAGAATCGACTTCATTACCCTTATCTCCGTCTTCCCACCTTCATATCCTCTTGTATTGGGTGAAACCGCTGGTAGAATCCTAGGCCTTTGCTTCTGCTTCATTTATTGATTCACCAGAGAATAGGCCTCAATTAATACTCAGCTTCATCTATTAATTCGCAGAGAAGAAACGGGAGGAAGGGATTTTCGTATTTTGATTTGACGGAGAGAAGATGGGATCTCGGAAATCCAAAGGCAGCGGCGGTTATCGATTCACATTCAAGCTATGTCTCCGCCATAGCTAGATTCAATTCCGGCGACATTCCAGCTCTGGATATCGGCTATTCGATTTGGGGGTTTTAAGACGTCGTCGATTCTGTGCACTGGCAGCTCACATATGGACGACAGATAGATGAGAAGAGAATGAAGGGTTTTGTTTTTCTTTTCTTTTAGTGTTGGTGTCTGTGGGAAAGATAAAGGAGGAGTCTTGTTGTTGTTTGTTGATGGAGAAGAGGAAATGAGAGGGAAAAGTAGAGGAGTAGGAGCTCAGATCCGGAACAGATCCGGCGAAGAAGAAGAAGAAGCATAGTGTGGTAGGGAGGAGGAGGAAAGGTGGCGGTGGTGACCGTCTCTGTTTCTCTCCACCATGGATCTAGGTTTGGGGAGAATGTTACGGCAGTGCTGACGGTGGAGGGATTTGGCGTATCTTTTTTGTTTTTGTTTTTTTGTTTTCATGTAATTATAATAAGAAGTGTAAGGTTGGATATTAAAAAACTTATTTGAAATTTATATTCCTTCATTTTAGTGTTTTTTCTGCTATATCTCCTTTAATTTTCTTTTTTCATTATTTTTTTCATTTCCTAAATCCAAGTGGATTTTTATAGACAAGATTGGCTGAATGTGCTTGCCATGTCAGTATCTCTGTTTGTCCAGTCAGATTTAACACTAACATCGTTAATGAATTGGACGGAAATGGCTATAAGTGATATTTTGCCAAATTTGGCTATTATTGGCACAAACGCGAAAGTTTTGGCTATACAAGTGTATTTTGCCTATAATTTATTAGCTATTTTTATCATTTCTACAATAATATCCATACCTATGGAAATAGGTACAAAATAATAGTCAATCATTCACCTATGTTTGATAGTTATGAATTTGAAACATACATTATTATTTGGAGTTTGAATGATTTTGGTGGTCTCTCAAAAAAGGAGAAAAAAATGAGGAAGAAACCATGAAAGATTGACAATATCAGTTTATAGCTATGATCAACAATCATCTATAATGAAGGATTAAGGTGGTCTCATCTTCTGCTCAAATACAAGTATTGTATTTCATTTTGATTCGGGATAGATTACATACTTTTATACTCATTAATTAATTCGTGTCGTTTGACTTGGTTTGCACCGTCCTTGAAGCT